AAACTACATAATAATTCACAATCTTTAATTAGGGGTCTAACATGGCATAAAATAATATTATAATCCCACACTCCCCCTGTTGAGCTCTTTAAACTTAAAGAGTTTAAATTTCGATTGGAATAACATTTGTTTTCTCATTCACTACTAATATTTTTGTATTGTGTTAATATAACACACGATTCAGTAACATTTGCATGAAGAGCTGGTATAAATGTCCTTTAGAGCAAATTTTACTTTCTCACTCTAAGTGCATTTCAGAGACAGTACTTTTTTCACTTTGGTGAAAAAAGTTGAATCAATGCTTGAACTTTAACTTAAGTCAGGAATCTGTACTTGTCTGTACTTGTCCTGGGGTCATTTTGACCCCAGAGGAGGAAAGGAGTATGACGGTTGGGAGGACATAACGAGGATCACACACAATTACACCGATTTCTGGCTGTATGGAATAACCAGCGAACCAGCTGAACTCTGTGACAGTGAGCCTTTCATGATCCACAGCGGATAAATGTCAGTGGAAAGCATCCCAGCAACTCCACCGCGTGTCGGGGTCTGATGCAATCTGAGAAGTGTCGACTCAGCAACCACAGCGCGGAGAGTGAAATTTGGCTGAGCTTCCGGTGCCGCTCCAGCCGTTACCGCCACCGTCAGGGATTCAGAACCCCTACGACTGCCAACATGTCGAAAGTGAACAGGGGTTCTCATGGATGCCGGGCCATGGTAATAGCAAGAAAGTACCTATCGGGTCCGTCCTCCCCGGTCCTGACGCGGAGCTCCAGCCAGCGTCAGCGGAAAATGCTGAGCCGGCAGCACCGCATGGCGAGCTGCAACGCGGCCGGTACCGAAGGAAACCCCGCGGCGCTGGCCCAGCAGGAGCACCTGGGGTATTTCTCCACCGGTGGACGACGCGCGAAGACCAACCTGAATCTGATTTACCGGGACGTGAAAGCTTTCCTCGGTGAAGTTGGTGGAGATCCCCGGGAGGCTCGGTACTGGTTGACCCAGTTCCAGAAAGCGACTTCGGGTCATTCTCCCGCCTTTGCTGTTCTGGAGGTAAAGCTTTACTCACCAAAAGACAAAAACAAACAAACAAAGATATTAGAATAGGTTTCATGTTTGTGGACATGAACTCCACGAGGACGAATACGCTAAAAAGAAATCATCAATGATTAAATCATTAAAGATAATTATCAAATTAAATAAACTGAAGACAAATACATAGAGTTTGTACCTGCATAGTTCTTACCTGGCAGTTAGTCCATACTCAGTATACTCTACAGTATACACTTTTCTCTCTTTCTCAAAGAAAAAACAGAAATCAGGTGTTTTTAAAAAAAAAAAAAAATTCTAGTACACTTCCTAAACAAAAGATGAATAAATACAGCCAAAAAATATAAGCATGTACTTAAATAATCAACAAAAAGCTGATAGCTCTTTAAAAAACCTGTTCTTATTAGACTGAAGCAGATCCCGTGTCAGCCAACTGGATTAAATTCTAGACTCTAATACTCAAACACTGTGTTTTTCATTTTGCACCAGGTGGACAGGTCAGCGTTTGACAGCAGGGAAATGGTTCAGAGCCTGGCTTTTGGCCTGTCCTTCCTGCAGCGGATGGATATGAAGCCTGTGGTGGTTATGGGCTGGTCAGATCACCTGGAGACAGGGCTCGCCAAAGCAGAGTTTGGGTCTGAGTGCATGAAAGGACTAGTGAATCGGTGCCAGCAGCTGACTGAGGCGCTGCAGCAGCACACTGCCAGCGTCCTGCCGTTCTTCTCTGCAGAGTCACTCCTACTTCTGCATGAAGCACCGCAGGGAAGCAGGTGAGAACTGAGACATACCAGTTCAATCTAAGGGAACACTTGCTTATAAATTGTGAATTTAACTTTACTGTTCAGATATCAATGAAGTAGGTAAATTATCTGTAAGTCATTGGCTATAATTACTGTTTATGCAATTAATCTATGCACCTGTTTTATCAATTATTTAATGGAAATAATAAATCATTATATCTGCTATAGTTTTTAATTAGCCAGCTCTTATTCTTAAGGTGTCAAATACTGTGATTTAGTCCAGGCTACTGTTTTTGTACCTGCAACACTATGTACAGGGTGCCTGTACTCTACAACCAGTCGCACTTTTACCTTGTTATTTAACCATCAGTTTCCTAATGATTAATAACGGTTATTTTAAAATGTGATTTTTAAAGGTTGTCATTATAAATATATTTTAAATACAAGTATGCTTTTAATGATTAGTGTGGGTGAGTGAATGGCAGTGGGGGAGGTCTTCATCAATAGAGAAAAACTGTAAAAGCTGTGAGAACACAGTATAAAGTCATAAGGCAATGTCCTCTATCACATTTTCCCCTGGGCCTTATGTTTCACACCCTGGTTTAGACAGTTCTTAGTAGGGCTGGGCCATATCATACCGTTCACGGTAATACTCTCTTCCACAGCATGTCTTT